GGCCAAAGAAAGGAATGTCAAGGTTTCTAAGTGGTCTCCGGAGGAAGCAGAGTGGGGCTGGGTCCCCAGGTATACCCTGGTGAGTCAAGGGGCTTGTGTGTTTCTTGTGCCCAGCTTTGGTGTATTTTTCTCTGTTTCTTTTGGCTGTAGGTGTCAACTTCCAGGCTCTGCCTCCTGTTAGAGGAATTCTAATGTCAGGAAGTTAGGGAGAGAGGTCATTCCTGTCTTAAGTGGAAAACAAGGAGGGAAGTGACATAAGGGAGCTCTGTGTGGAGTCCAGCCTCTTCTAGAGGCCTTGTCATGGGTTTGGGGGGAGGATGGTCAGGGGCTGGAAGACCAGGCAGTGTTAGGGTGTGTGCTCCTCAGCATTCCCTCTGGAAGAGGCTGGAGGGGCCAGATATGATGAACAGCATGAAGGGGAAAGCCTGGCATCGGGATAGAGGGTGCTCTATGGGGAAGAGTGACAGCTTGGAGTTGGTGGTGAGTGAGAGGGAGGTATATGAGGCAGCACATGGGCATAGATGGTGTCATGACAATAACTCCAGCCAAGCTGGAAGACCTGGGTTCTTCCTGTATGACTTTGAAAAAGACACTTCACTTTCCTGGGCTTTGGACTCCTGTCTGTCTTTCTGGTAGTTGATGGTCTTTTTTGCTTTGAATATTTTCTTATTTAACTCTTCAAGAGCTTCATATGAAGCTTTAGTGTTCTACCCATTTTACACATGAAGAACTGAGATTGGGATTCAGAAAAGTTGGGTTACTTACCCAACATCTCATAGCTAAAAGGTATGCAGCTGGGACAACAGGAATCATATTCAGTTGACTCAGGCTCTTATGGGGACAGAATGAAGGACAATGTGATGGGTAGAGCTCTATTTAACCCATTTCCTAGCTGTGCTGTCTTGAACAAATCACCATGTCTTAGGGTTTTTTTGGGATGGGTTGGGGGGCATACCCGGGATTGAACTCAGGGGCACTCAACCACTGAGCCACATCCCCAGCCCTGTTTTGTATTTTATTTAGAGACAGAGTCTCACTGAGTTGCTTAGTGCCTCACTTTTGCTGAGGCTGGCTTTGAACTCTCAGTCCTCCTGCCTCAGTCTCCTGAGCTGCTGGGATTATAGGCATGCACCACCACACTCAGCTTTTTTTTTTTAATTTTTAATTTTCTGCAGAGCTGGATATAAAACCCAGGGCCTTATTCATGCTAGGCAGTAGCTCTACCACTAAGCTACATCCCCAGCCCTGTCTCAGATTGTTCAACACAAAAAGGGAATGACAATAATGTCAGCTAAGAGTAGCTACTGAGTCACACTGAAGAGTAAATAATGCACATTCTAGTGCCACAATGCTTGCTTGGTTCCTAGTGAATGCTCAATAAATGATGGCTATTATTATCATCCATTTAATTGCCAATATCAAATAAGCATCTCAGAAGGCCAAACACACTCCTTACACCTGAGTTACATTTTTTCCTATGAGGCTATGAGGGGATAAATGTCCAGCCAGCTAGACTTGTAGGGCCAAGTGGAGGAGGATGTGAGGATCTAGATTAGACTGTGGTTGATGTAGCTGCACATTAGGACATGTGGGGGTTCTTTTATTTGTTTGTTTGCTTATTTATTTATCAGTGGTACTGGGGATTGAATTTAGAGACACTCTATCACTGAACCACATCCCCAGCCCTTTTTATTTATTTTTTTGAGATAGAATTTCACTAAGTTGTCCAGGTTGGCAAGTTGTGTGTTGTGTGTGTGTGTGTGTGTATCTCAGATCTTTTTAACTGTCGAGTGGTTTTGATGAACATTTGGGTTTTTCCAAGTTTTTTGGTTATTGTGAATAAAACTTCTATGAATGTTCATGTGTAGGTTTTTATGTTTTCCTTGCATTTGGGTAATAGCCAGGAGTGGAATTGGTAAAATATCTAGAAGTGAAATTGCTGGGTCATAATACCTTAAGGCCATGTTTAACTCTTTATAAAAAACTGTCAATCAGTCCTTCAAAGAGATTGTACCATTTTATACTCCCATCAGCAGTCTAGGAGAATTCTAGTTGCTTTCCATTCCTACTAACATTTGGAGCTGTTGATGTTTTTAGTTTTAGCTCTCCTACTAGATGTTAAATGGTACCTCTTTTTTTTTTTAAAAAAATTATTTTTTAGTTATGGGTGGACTCAATATCTTTATTTTAATTTTTTTATGTGGTGCTGAGGATCGAACCCAGTGCCTCATGCATGCTAGGCGAGCGCTCTACCTTTGAGCCCCAATCCCAGCGCCCCCAACCCTCCCCCAGTCTCTTTTTTTTTTTTTTTTTGATATTGGAGATGGAACCCTCATGCATGCAAACACTCTACCACTGAGCTATGTCCCCAGCCTCCTCATTATGGTTTTAATTGCAATTTCCTGAGGACTATGTTGAGTACTTTTTCATGTGTTTAGTGCATCTCTTTTTGCTCATTTTTTTAAAAATGTATTTTTTCACAATATATAAATTATTCTATTGTTGATTTGTAAGAGGTCTTTAAATACCAAGATACTCTTCCTTAGATATCTTTTTCTTTTCTTTTTTCTTTAAACGACAGTTTAATTGAAGTACAATTCACATCTCCATATCATAATTTATTCACTTAACGTGTATAATTCAGTGATTTTTATTATTTTCACAGAATTGTGCAATTATTACCATTGTTAATTTTAGAACATTTTCATCATCCTAAAAGGAAATCCTATTCCCTTTTCCCCATTCCCTTAACCCCCAGCCTTGGTCAATCATAATGTATTTTCTATCTCTATGGATTTGCCTATTCTGAACATTTCATGTTAACTCAGCCATAGTATATGTGGTCTTTTGTGTGTAGCTTCTTTCATTTAGTGTAATAGTTTCACAGTTCATCCATGTTGTAGCATATATACATACTTAATTTCTTTTTATTGTTGAATAAAAATATTCCAATGTGTGGATATATCATTTATTTATACTTTCATCAACTAATGGATATTGGATTATTTCTACTTTTTGGCTATTATGAGCAAGTAGTACTACTATAAACATTTATGCACAGTTTTATGTGTGGGTCTATGTTATTTTTCTTAGGAGTGGAATTTTTTTTTTTTAATATTTATTTTTTAGTTCTTGGCGGACACAACATCTTTGTTGGTATGTGGTGCTGAGAATCGAACCCGGGCCGCACGCATGCCAGGCGAGCGCACTACCGCTTGAGCCACATCCCCAGCCCTTAGGAGTGGAATTGATAGATTGTATGGTAACTCTATGTTTAGCCTTTTGAGAAACTTACAGATTATTTTCCAAAGTGGTTGTACCATTTTACGTTCTCACCAACAATGTATAATGACCAGAGCCAGATAGATATCTAAAAATGAAGATCTGTTCATAAATGTGTCTGCCTCAAAAAATTGTTATAGAAATTATTTGTTTGTTTTTTAATTTACAAGAAATTTTTACCTACCTGAAGCTCATGAAGATATCTTCCATTTTAATGGTTCTGAATTTTATATTTTGTTATATGATTCATCTTTAATTTTTGTGTATAGGATAAGTAGAAATCATTTTGTCTGTACAGTATCCTGCTGTTTCAGCACAATTAATTAATTTGTTAAAATTACTTCCCACTGAATTCACTCAGAGTTTTGGTCAGTTGACCATATTATTTGTGTGAGTTTATTTCTGAGCTTCTGTGTGTGTGTGTGTGTGTGTGTGTGTGTTTGGGGAGTGGGTACTGGGGATTGAACCCAGGGGCATTTTATCACTGAGCCACATCTCTAGCCCTTTTTATTTTTTTGTTTTGAGACAAAGTCTAGCTAAATTGCCTAGGCTAGCCTTGAATTTGCAATCTGCCTTCCTGCCTTGGGCTCCAGAGTCACTGGGATTACTGGTCTGAGACCTCAAGTCCACCCACACTTGTGATTACTGTGGCTTTAGAGTAAATATTAGGTAGTATAAATATTCCTTGCTTTTCTTTTCTAAAGTTGTTTTGGCCATTCTAGGTCCTTTGTATTTACATATAAATCTTAGAACCAGTATGTTGATTTATTTAAAAATGCTGAAATTTTGCTTGTGTTAGTGTTGACTCTAAACATCAATTTGAGAGCTACATTGAGTTTCTAATCCCTGGTCATCTGTATCTTTCCATTTATTTTATTCTTTGATTTCTTTTTAGCAGGAATTTCAGTACAGTTTCTGTATAGGGATCTTGCACATCTGTTACTTAATCCTGGATGTTATGTTTTTAAACATGGAATTGTTTTTGTGGTTTCATTTTTCAGTGTATCATTGATGAATGCAGAAATACAATTAATTTTTCTATATTGGTTTCATATCATTTAGCTTCATTTATTAGGTCTAGATGTCTGTCCCAAATTGTAGTCCCAAAGCCCAGCTATGTGGACTTTTAATTGAGGAGCAATATGAAGATTTATACTAAATAACATTTAATTTATAAAACTGAGCCTTTGGAGGAAGGGGCAAGAATGGCTGTGGCATCTGGTATTTTTAGAGTTCTTCGGAAAGATTCTAAGAGCGCAGTTGAGAACCTTTGATTTACAAGGTGCCTGGTGGCAGACACACTGGCCCAAAGATCACCCTCCCCTAGGGGACTAGCAACGAGAGCTGGAGGGAGTGTCTGGACCAAGGACTACCCTCCAGAAAAGGCAGACGAGTTCCGGGTTCCCTTCCCGGCCCCAGGAGTGGGATAAGCACGCCTCACAGACAGTCGCCTCCCGCCTGTGGCTCTAACAGATGTCCATCAATGTCCCCTTGACCGAGGTTCGCTGTGCCTTCCTCCACAGACACACCTATCTACACTGCCCCCCCCCCCGGTCCCGCCCCCCTGAGAGATTGTTAACAAGGCGATATCCACAAGCTTCACGCGGAAGACCCTCACCCGTTGCAGATGTTACAGATGAGGAAACTGAGGCCCAGAGAGGCCGGGCCTTCGTGTAGGGCCGCCTCCAGTTCGACCCTTTTCCCGTAACCCTTTTCAGGTATAATGAAATCAAATCGGAGCTGGAGGAGCTGGACCACATCACAGAGCAGACGCTCTTTGACCTGTACAAATACAAGTTCAACACGCGCCTGGCCAGTCCCCGCGGCCGTCGCGATCTCGGGGGCACTCTGCCGCACCCACTGCAGCGCCTGCGGGTCCTGCCCCAGCCCCACAAGGCCCGCAGAGCACGCGGCGCGACCTCCAGCATGCGGGACAACAACCCCCAAGTGGACAGGAAAGACTGGAAGATCGGCTTCCAACTGGTAAGGCAGCTGGAGGGCACCGCCAGTCCACTCGCCCCGCCCTGGCCCCGCCCACGCCGCAGACCCCGCCCCCTTCGGACCCGCCTCTACAGATGAACGAATCAGAATTAACTCTTCTGATTGCGGGCAAATTAAATAAATGAAACAAAATAGAATGAAATGGAATGGAAAGAAAACAGAAAAATAAAATGTAAAATAAAAATAAAATCACACCTTTCTGTGAGCCAGTTTGTGCAATATCCTCGCTGGGAGCCTATGTTCCAGCGTTTAAGCCACAGGAAGTCCAATCTATTGTGGAAAATGCACTTTTCAAAATCTCTGGTTCTCAATGGTGGTGCTCAATTGGGACCTTCCAAGTCTAATGGAAAACTGGGGCTTTACTAGCCTAAGACAGAGAATTAGAGACAGTAAAACAGGAGGCTTAAAAGTATTTTTAAAATACAAAATTAACTATGGGTGTAGCTGAGTGGTAGAGCACTTGCTTAGCATGCATGAGATACTGGGTTCAATCCCCAGCCCTCCCAAATAAATAAATAAATAAATAAATAAATAAAATCAAAGGCAAAATTAGAGGAAATGTCTTCTAGGCCCAGCTCTGTCTGAAAAACAAAACAAAATACACACCTTTTGTTTCCTCAGTCTTCCCCCCAGTGAAATGGGAGAAGTTCTTGCTCTTCCCCCTGCAGGGAGTATATAAATGAACTGTAATCATGTGTGACTCTTCCCTGCTCACCCATCCTTTAAATCCATTTTCCCCTGGCCCACTCTCCTGGGCTTCTGCTTTTCCCACGCTTTCTGCACTATTGCATTCTTATTCCTCATCCCTGTCCATCAGCCCTCAGAACTCCAGACAACTTATCCTTGATCCCGGCCCTGGCCTGCTGCTGGCCTTTTGGGCCCACTAACATTCTGCTCTCTGTGTCCAGTGCAACCAGAACAAATCTGACTGCTTCTACCAAACATACTCATCAGGGGTGGATGCGGTGAGAGAGTGGTACCGCTTCCATTACATCAACATTCTGTCCAGGCTGCCAGATACCTCACCATCTCTGCAGGAGGAGGCACTGGGCAACTTCATCTTCACCTGCCGCTTCAACCAGGCCTCCTGCAACCAGGCGTGAGTAGGTTCTGCTGGGGTGGGTGTTCTTCTCTGGGCCTCCCTTGGGTCATCCTAAGGCCCATGGGTCCAGAAAATGCTTGATAATTAAATATGGAAATGCTGACAGTGGGTAAAGGGGAAGAACTGGCCTCGGGTCCATGCCTCTGCCTCACAGGTCACCCGGAGGCCCTGCAAGGTCTGAGTGCACTGGCCTCATCTGGATTCCCTGGGAAGATTGGGGCTCAAGGTCTGGCTTTGAGAAATCAAGAACTAGAAGCATGGTTCTCAGTCTTTCTAAGGCCTCTTTCTCACTAGCATTAAAGTTCACACAGACCTGGGAGGTAGTAAGTGTAGGTAGTAAGTGAAATAGTGTGGATTGAAAGACTAAAACCCAGTTCCCACTCTGGTTCTGTGACTTCCTGGTTGGGTGACTGAGCATTTCACATCATTTTTCAGAAATGGAAACAAAACAAAACACACAAAATGAAATTCATTCATCCAACGTGTTTTTTTTTTTAATTTGTTTTGCTTTGTTTTGTTTTGTTTTTAACTGTCTGGACTATGTGCCAGATACCGTTCTAGGCACTTGAGGCACATTAGAGGAAAAAAAAGTCCTTGCCCTTTCGGCACTTGTACTCAAGTGAAGATGATGAGGATAACACAGAGTACACAAGGTAACACTTGTCAAGACACTTTATACACCACTGGATTGATGGATCTCAATATTCTTGTCCTTAAACCAGGTCAGAAGCTGGCATTAGCTGAAGATTCTTCCTACTCCGTTGCCCCTCAAGCATTCTTTATATTGGGACCCCTGTCATGATGTCCTTGCAAAGAGGTCATGGCTGCTGTAGTCTGAGAACTGAGAAAGGCTGGGAGTGGAGGGGGTTCCATTCTGTTGCCTCTGGCCTCCTCCTACACCTGCCTTCCCCTCCTGCTTCTGCTCCTTGAGCTTTGGGGACCATCTCCATGTCTCTGCCTGGCTGAGGAAGGGTGCTGAGGCAGCATCTCCATTCTACAGGGGGCCCTTCCCTCCTATGCTGGAGAATGGCAGCAGGGCCAGGTGTCACCTGGTTCTGCCCCTACCGTTCACCCCTCACATATACTTTGTTCAGCACACAACTTGGTTCCTGTCTCTAGTCTTACTGTTTGTTTGAGGACAGAAGTGAGCAGCTGGGAAGTAGGGCAGCTAAGCCCTAGTCAACTGGCACCTGCCACCAAGCCTCTCTAACTGTCACTTTCCCACCTGTAATTTTCATTTCCATCCTCTCCCTTTGCCTGCTCAATGCTTGTGCATCCGATCAACAGAAAGCCCATAGTTCATCATTGTTTTGGCATTTAAGTGACTTCCTCGGTTCAGTTCTTCCCAGTTCTCACCTGGATTATTATAACTACCCCCTAATTTGTTTTTCTGCTTCTAAATCCTCCCTTTATTCTGTGACCAAAGGAAGTGTCTCAGTCTGTTTTCTGTTGCTGTAACAGAATACCACAGCCTGAACAATTATAAAGAAAAGAAATTTTATTCTTCTAGTCCTAGAGGCTGGGAAGTCTAAGAGCATGGTGCTGGCTCTTGGTGAAAGCCTCTATAATATTACGTGGAGAAAAAAGGCAAGTGAGTTCATGTGAAAAGAAAGCAGGAAGGGCAGACTTGATTTTTAACAATGCACGCCCCACCTCCACAATGATGACCTTGATCCATTCATGAAGATTCTGTCTTCACGACCCAATTACCACTTATTAGGCCAAACTTCCTAACGCATTGGGATTAAGTTTCCAACACATGAACTGGGAGAGTTTGAACCATAGCAGGAACTTTTGCATTTCACTATACTTAACTATTCCAGTTTGTCCTGTTTAAAATTCTTTGGTCTCTTGTGGTCTTCAGAATCATGAATCCTTTATTGTGGCCTTCTTTTTTTAAAAACATAGGTTAGCTGTACATTTTTTTTTTTTTTTTGGGGCTGGGGATTGAACCCAGGGCCTTGTGCATGCAAGGCAAGCACTCTACCTACTGAGCTATATCCCCAGCCCCCTAAATATTTTTTTTTGTAGTTGTAGATGGATACAATACCCTTATTTATTCATCTTTATGTGTTGCTGAGGCTCAAACCCAAGGCCTCACACGTGCTAGGGAAGCGCTCTGCCACTGAGCTACGACCCCAGCCTTAGTGTGGCCTTCTTATCCCTCTCCTGTCCCATCTACAAAAACTTCTTTCACATATTATCTTTTCTTTTCTTTTTCTTTTTTTGCATGTGTGGTTCTAGAGATGGAATTCAGGGCATCACACATGCTAGGTGAGTGCTAAACTGCTGAGACACATCCGTAGCCCTAAATTTTTCTTTAATAGTATTTGAAGATATGGCATATGTGCCATAAACTCTTCCTAGTAACATGTACAACTTAGTGGCCTTTAGTATGTTCAGAGTTGTGCAACTATCACTACTATCTAATTTTAGAACATTGTCCTCACCCCAAAAAGAAACCCGGTGCTTATCAGCAGTTCCCCACTCACTCCCCTCCTCCAAGCCCTGCAAACCACTGATCTGCTTTCTGTTTCTATGAATTGCCTGTTGTTGACATTTCACATAAAGGGAAGCATGAAATATGGAGTCTTCTGTGACCAGTTGGCTTCTTTCACTTAAGCATAATGTTTTCAAGTTCATTTATGTTGTAGCATGTATCTGAACCTCATTTCTTTTTATGGGCAAATAATATTATATTTAGAAGGTAGCTTTATCCATTCTTCAGTTGAGAGACATTTGGGTAATTCCCACTTTTTGGCTATCATACATGAAACTGCTATGAACATTCTTGTACATGTCTTTGTATGGATGCAGGTTTTCATTTCTCTTGGTATAAATCTAGGAGTAGAATTAATGTGTCATATCGTAACTCTAGATTTAATATTTTGAGGAACTACTGGACTTTGTCAAATGGCTATACTATTTTACGTTCCTAACAGCACTGTGGGAATGCTCCCAATTCTCTATATCCTACATTTGTCTGTCTTTTCATTTTAGCCCTCTTAATGAATCCCTTTAATCTTCATAGTAAACTAATGCAGCTCTTACTAAGTGCTAAGCACTGTTCTAAGTGTAATTTATCACACCTGTGAGGTAGATGTTTTTAACATCTTGATTTTACAGATAAGGAAACTAAGGTTCAGAGAAGTTAAGTAATTTGTTTGGTATCATGTCTTTTCTTTCTTTTTTTTTTTTTTTTTCAGATTGAGCTGGAACTATTAATGAGTAAATATCAATTCATCCCACTTTTAATACTTTTATTATTTAATTAAATTAATTAATTTATTTTTTTGGTAGCAGGGATTGAACCCATAGGTGCTTAACCTCTGAGCCACTCCCCAGCCCTTTATTTTTTTATTTTAAGACAGGGTCTCACTAAGTTGCTTAGGGTCTTGATAAATTGAAGAGGCTGGCCTTGAACTTGCAATCCTTCTGCCTTGGCCTCCTGGGTTACTGGGATCACAGGTGTGTGCCACCATGCTATCTAATACTTTCTAAAGCTTAGAGATTCAGTTCTGGACTCTGTGCTTTTAACCATCACATTATAAGGCTTATCATAGGCCATTATATTAATATGCTTAATGTATATTCTTTGTGTTTTTGCAAAATTCATATTTAATTTATGTACACGGCATTATATATCTCATTCAATCCCCTGCCTTTAAAAACTAAGCTCTGTGGGTTTAAGATCCATCCACATTGCTGATTCCATCTGCTGTGTGCTGTCCATGATGTACATCTGCAGCATCGTGTCTGTCCCCTCTCTCAGCAGGCAGGGCCAAATGGCCCTTTAGGACTGGCCACTTCTGTAGCCTCTTCTTCAGTCACTCTTTGCATCCAACCCATCTCTGGAAATACTGACTTCCTAGCACATCCTAAAATATGTTCTGGTATTTCATATCTCTGTGCCTTTGGCTTTTAAGGTCAATGGAATATTCCAGATCATCTTCTGATCTCTTCATTTTGTAGATAAGGAGAATGAGCTCAGAAAAAAATGACTTGTTCAGGGCCATACAAGCAGAACTCCACTCCTTACCTCTGACTAGACTTCTCCTTGCTTCTCTTCACTTCTCCTCTGCCTCTCACAGGTCAAAGCCTAATCTTCCTCTTCGCCTGCTCCCATCACCAGCTCTAAGATGGGATGGTAGTAGAATATAGATTTCCTCTGTCCTCACGTGGGCTCTCGCTGCAATCCAACACAGCCTCCTGGCTTTGAAACCTGTTATTTGCTGTCAGATCATATTGTTACTACAACAGCATTGCTTCTGATTGCTTTCTCTGGATTCCCAAATCTATTGTAGATTAGTTTTGGATCTATCAGTCTGACACATGCTGGTACAGGAGGCCTTGGAAAAACACTTGGCCTCATTTTACCCCTGGGCTCTGAACTTCTTCTTCTTAGCACCATGTTCCTCATGTCTCACTCTTTCCTTTAACCTGGTTCCCCTCCACATCTCTATTTCATTCTCCACATCTCTATTTCATTCATTCTTTCATTCATTCACCCAGCAACTATTTGTTAACTATCTCCTATATGCCAGGAACACCAAGATGATATAGAGATGAATGAGATGTGGCTTCTAACTTCAAGGAGCTCATGATCGCAAAATGGGGAACTAAGAAGTAGATACATGAGAAGTTAGGGGTACTGTAAGAGTCTTCACAAGGCACAACGGTAATGCAGGAGAGGTCACAAGGCAGCGTATAATTCAAGATAAGTGAGATCAGATGGCTTGGTGGGAGAAATCTGAGCTAGCAGGTAGTTGTCCTGGGCCTGAATCCCAAGGGCCATCATCACTGTCTATGTGACCTTGGGCAGCTGCTTGACCTCTCTGAGACTGAGCTTCCTCTTACATGATGTGAGAATGAGGCTCCCCAGGGAGACAGAGGGGAAGCATACTGGGTGATTTGGAAACCGACAGCTCTGAAAGGCTTAACTCCTATAGGTGTTTAAAAGAATGATTCTCCTCTGCCTCTTCCTGTTCTCCTGCTTCCTATACATACCCCTCTAACCCTACTCTCTCTCCTGCTAAGGAATTACTCTCACTTCCACCACCCAATGTATGGGAATTGCTATACTTTCAACAACAAGAACAATTCCAACCTCTGGATGTCTTCCATGCCAGGAATCAACAATGGTGAGAAACTCCCAGGACCTGGATTCCCCACCTCTGCCTAGCCCTTCTCACCTTGGGCCCACATCCTAGAGATGCCATGTACCTTCTGGGTCTCTATTCTGGAAGGAATCTTCTCTTCTCTTTCTCCCCCACGGGCATTGTATAGTCCATTCCAGGCATGAGAGGAATCTTGTCCCAGTCTTTTCCTGCCTGCCCCCAGAATTCAGCCCCAAGGTTGCCAAATCCACTTGCAGGTCTAACTGGATGTGCTCTCCTTAGAGATTAGTGACTAGGCAAGGTAGGAGGGTGGGTTTCCATCCCCTGACTCTTCTCTAAGACCTATCCCACAACTCTGTTCCTGCTGCATCCCCCAGGTCTGTCCCTGACATTGCGCACAGAGCAGAAAGACTTCATCCCCCTGCTCTCCACGGTGACTGGGGCCAGGGTAATGGTGCATGGGCAGGATGAGCCGGCTTTTATGGATGATGGTGGCTTTAACCTGCGGCCTGGTGTGGAAACCTCCATCAGCATGAGGAAGGCAAGAATGCTAACTGGTAGCTTGGGAAGAGAGTCCCAGATTGGAGAGAGGCCGGCAGGACAGGGGAGGTGGACAGGACAGCCAGGGACTATGGAAGATCATATAGGGTGGGCCTTGAGAGTGGGGTGATCTTCAGGTGTAGGAATCAGGGGGGAAGGGAATGGCTGGGAGGGAATTGGGCAGTGGATCCTGGGGAGTGGAGCTTGGGTGAGAAGTACAGAAAGGGGGTTCAGGGCATGCTTGGGATCTCAGGGGATGCTCTGGGCCCAGTGCCCTTGAATCAGGTCGTAGAGGGATGGGACCTGGGGACTGTGGAGCATGTCGAGATTGGGAGGCAGATAGGAGGAGCTGGCAAGATGAGCCATCTGACCTGGAAACTGAGGAAAGACAGAATCCTGGCACAAGCTGGGGCCAGTTGCTCTGACCTCTTGATGTGCCTGGGTTCCTAGGAAGCCCTGGATAGGCTTGGAGGCAACTATGGTGACTGCACTGAGAATGGCAGTGATGTCCCTGTCAAGAACCTTTACCCTTCTAAGTACTCGCAACAGGTAAGGCCCAGACTCTTTCTGTGGCAAGCTGTTTCCTAGGCCTGCCCCGGGTGGTCAGTCAGAGTTGTGGGGTGGTGAGAGAGGGGGACTTTGGGGTGAAGGTCGTGGGAAGAGGGATGGAGGTCCAGTGCAATTCCTTCTCATTCCATCTCTCCTCTAGGTGTGCATCCACTCCTGCTTCCAGGAGAGCATGATCAAGGAGTGTGGCTGCGCCTACATCTTCTACCCAAAGCCTAAGGATGTGGAGTACTGCCACTATAAGAAGCACAGTGCCTGGGGTGAGAGCCTGGGAGCCCTGGGCTGCCTCGCCCCCTACCCCCGGGCTTCCCCGAGCTCTCTCCTCCAGTGCCTTCTGTCTGAGGCATGACTCTGGCTCCCACCACCCTGAGGAGTTCGCCCTCTCCCTCTCTCAGCCCTTACTCTCTGCCTCTGTTTTCCTCCCTTTCTCTGTATATTTCCTTTATTTCTTTTTTTCAACATGATTTATTCTATTTTATTTATTGTTTATTTATATATGACAGCAGAATGTATTACAATTCTTATTACACATATACACCACACTTTTTCATATCTCTGGTTGTATACAAAGTATACTCACACCAATTCATGTCTCCATACCTGTCCTTTGGATAATAATGATCATCACATTCAATCACCATTATTTACCCCATGCCCCCTCCCTTCCCCTCCAATCCCTCTATTTCCTTTATTTCTGTTCCTCCCTGTTGGCTCTCTGTCTCTGCTTTTGTGTATTTGTTAAGAATTGCCCCCATTTAAAAATAACCTGCAGCAGAAGGAAGAAAGAGCACATATCCCTCAACCCCTTCCCTGCTCTCCTGCTGCAGCTCCATCTCGTACCTGTGGAGCATGGCATTCACAGGGTGCTGAGCAGGACTGGCTCCAGGGGAGCTGGGTGGGGCACAGGACAACTCTGGGGCCCAGGAAGAAAATGTTAGAAGTCATATGTGTCTGTCTCATTTCTTCACATTTTCCATTATACATACATTTTAGAATGTATAAACTATATCCATCCAGTAGTTCAGCTATGTAATTTGTAAATCAAAAACATATCTCGGACTTGCTTATTTTGGATGTGTGTGTGTGTGTATATATATATATATATATATATATATATATATATGTATATATATATTTTAACCTGGAAGAGGGCACAATCAAACAAGTTTGTAGACTCCTGGCCTTTCCTCCTTATCCTGATTTAGGAGTTGACAAATTCTTCTCCTCTCCATTACTGCTGAACTGTTCAGCAGGGAAACTGTGTGTTAGGAAGATGAGAAAGACAATCCCAACAAGAAACCATGGCAACTGGGTGCTGTGGTGCACACCTGTTATCCCAGTGACTTGGGAGGCTGAGGCAGGAGGATTGCAAGTTGAAGGCCAGCCTCAGCAACTTAGTAAGACCTGTCTCAAAATAAAAATGGCTGGGGATGTGGCTCAGTAATAAAGCACCCCTGGGTTCAATCCCCAGAATATATATAAAAAAAATACGCACACACCCCATAGATGCTCTGAGGGGTCATGTTTCTGTGTTCCTGCTACACAGGCTTTCATCTGGCACAGCTATCCTGTTCCACCCTCCTCTTCCTCCCAGGGCTTTATGGGCAAGGAGGTAGGCTGAGGGACATGGTAACAGGCACAACAGGCACAGTGGCCATGCCAGGAGCTGATCATCTCACCCAGAATTTAGAGTCCAGCTCTGCCTCCATTTGTCAGTGGTGATTTTTCAGCTCTCTTCTCTTTTCTCCCCACCTTCTCCCTCCCCACCTTTCCTTTTTTTCCAATACTAGGGATTGAACCCAGGAGTGCTCTACCGCCGACCTAAATTTCCAGCCATTTTTAAGTTTTTTGCTACAGGGCCTCACTAAGTGGCTTCGAATTTGTGATCCTCCCTCCTCAGCCCCCCCACGTAACTGAGATGACCAGCATGTGCCCCCATGCCTGGCTTCTGCCTCTTTTCTTGCCTGTGTCTTCTCTATCATTCTCTTCCCGTGACAGTTCCTTTCAGGTGTGGCTGGGACCTTGGAAAGATGGGAGCACATCATAATCTGAGGGAAACTCGGAGGCCGTCTGATGTCACCTCTATTCTCAGATAGGCAAACGAAGGCCCAGAGGGAAGGCATGCTGCCTCCCAGGATATAAAAAGCAGTGGGAGTTGGCCCTCCCTTCCTCCCTGCCCCCAAATAATTTTTTCTAAATTGCTGTGATTTTGAGGATCTTTGAGCAAAAAATAACAATATTGATTGCTGAGAAGTTGTAAGGATAAGGGAGAGGAACTAAGGCTAAAAACAGTTTGATGTGTTTCCTAAGACTTAGTCCCCAGAGAAAAAGGCCCAGTTGCTTCTCAGTCTTCCTAATGTAAGATTCCAGCTCTGCTGATTTGGGTCAGAGATGAAGGATTTTGAATTAAGTGACTAAAAGTAGCGATGATGACAAAATAACTTTACTTAGAACTTGGCAAACGCTGGTAGAGGAATCCATAGTCCTTTTCTCCTCTTTCTGCTCCTCCTCCTCCTTCTTGTTTTCCTCTCCCTCCCGCTCTTCTTGTGGTAGTTGCTTTATTGAGATAATTCATATCTCGTACAATTCACTCATTTAAAGTATATGGTCAGGCGCGGTGGCACATGCCTGTAATCCCACCGGCAAGGGAGGCCGAGATGGGAGGATCTCAAGTTCAAAGCCAGCCTAGCAACTCAGTGTCCCTAAATAAAATATGAAATACCGCTGGGGATGTGGATCGGTGGTTGAGTCCCCCTGAGTGTAATCCCTGGTACCCCTCCCCCCAAAACATAATAATGTTTATAGTTTTGGGGTGGCACAGCCTATAATCCTAGTAACTCAGGAGGCTAAGACAGGAGGATTGTGAATTCAAAGTCAGCCCCAGCAACTTAGTGAGGCCCTAAGCAATTTAGCAAGACCCTGTCTCTAAATAAAATATTAAAAAGGGCTGGGGATGTGGCTCAGTGGTTAAGTGCCCCTGGGTTCAATCCTTGGCACCAAAATAAATAAATAAAGTATATATTTTTATTTTAGTACAAGTTTTAGGTTTTTGATAGTCTCAGGTGTGTAACATCACCACTATCAATTTTATAATCTTTTCATCACTCCCGAAAGAAACTTTTTATACTAGGTAGCAATCCTCAAATTTCTTACCCTTCATTGTCAGTCCCTGGACAACACTAATCTTTTTGTCTCTATACCTTTGCCTGCTTTGGACACTTCATATAGATGGAAACTTATAACAACACATGGTCTTTGTGAGTGACTTTTTTCACTTAATCATAACATTTTCAAAGTCTATGTTGTAGCACATATCAGCACTTCCATTCTTTTTTATGACTGCTATTCCATAGTGTGGGTATACTACATTTTGTTTATTTTCTTATCTGTTGATGGAAATCTAGGTTATTTTTACTTTTTGGTTTTGTGAATAGTGTTGCTATGAACATTTGTGTACAATGTGTGTGGATGTGCATTTTCAGTTCTCTTAGGTATATACCTAGGAGATTGCTTAGATTCTGTGGTAACTGTTTAATCTTTTTGGGAAGCTATCACTCTTTTCCAAGATGGCTGCACAATTTTATATTCCCAGAGGAAGTAAATGAGGTTTCCAGTTTCTCTACATCCTTACCAGTACTTGTCCTTGTCTTTTCCTTTTTTATTTTATTTTATTTTAAATAGTAACCATCCTAGTGGCTATAGAGTAATATCTTTTTATGGCTTCACATCATTATTCTTAAACAATTGTTCCTATTTTTCTTTGTGACTTCCATATTGAACACACCTTTATATTTTGCCCCGACTTAGTTTGTTCATACTTTTTTTTTTTTTTTTTTTGGAACTAGGAATTGAATTCAGGGGCACTCAACCACTGAGCCACATCCTCAGCCCTATTTTGTATTTTATTTAGACACAGGGTCTTGCTGAGTTGCTTAGCGCCTTGCTTTTGCTGAGGCTGGCTTTGTATTTGTGATCCTCTTGCCTCAGCTTCCCGAGCCACTGGGAGTACAGGCATGTGGCACTGCACCCAGCTCATAAACATTTATTGTTGCTGCTATTCATAGGCATCATTGTAATGTTGCAAAAAACTCTTGTAAATTGGCTGCCCAGTTCTGAGGGGAGAACTCTTGGGTGTGGGGTGGAGAAGGTCAAGGTGCCCTCAGGAAACAGGCACTTTGCTGTACCCATAGGCTACTGCTACTATAAGCTCCTGGGAGCCTTCTCTACAGACAGCCTGGGCTGTTTCACCAAGTGCCGGAAGCCATGCAGGTGAGTGTCCCCTGCTCCCAGGCACAGGGTGGGCAGCAGGCTGCTTGGCTGGGTAGGATACAAGGTAACCAGCTAGCTTTGGAGTGGGAGAGCCCTACTCCATCACTAAGAACCTTTCTCCATCTTCAGTGTGACCAATTACAAGCTGTCTGCTGGTTACTCACGATGGCCCTCAGTGAAATCCCAGGTAAAGTGGGGAAGGGAGGGATTGGGGGACTTGCACACCTGCCTGTGCCCATGCGAGGGTAACTCTGTGACCTTCTCTGGATGTTGGTGTGCTTGACCTGATCCCACTCTTCTGCACCTGAGGAATACAGGGATGAATTCCATGACACTTCTGTTCTTTCCCAGGACTGGATTTTCCAGATGCTGTCCCTACAGAACAATTACCCCATCAACAACAGAAGGTGAGTCCTGCCCTGGTCTTAGCTATAGGATAGGAATCCCTGGGAGGGAAACCAGATCTGGGAAGAGGAATTGATTCAGTTGTTTAGAAGAGGGTTCAAGAACTTAATCCTCTAATATTTCTTCCCACCTCTCTCCCACTCCAAAGAAGTGGAGTTGCTAAACTCAACATCTTCTTCAAGGAGCTGAACTACAAGACCAATTCTGAATCTCCCTCTGTCACGGTATGGCCTGCCTCACAGACCCTGTAATTCTTTTGGGGGGTCTTGGCAGGGTGGTTTTCCTTCTGTGGGGGCCAGAAGAGTTTCAGCCTTGAATGTAGGGGACTAAGGAAAATGGGTGTGGGGTCAAGGGTGAGGTTGAGAGGGTTGGAAGGAGGGGAGCTAGAGTTGGGGTTTGAGGTTTGAGCTGGTGGAAGGTACATGTATGTTAGATGATGGGGAGAAGGCCCTTGAGACACACCCCAGTTGCCACTAGCCTCTTACCAGTTTTCCTGGGTGATACTACTCAGGAGCTATGTGTTCCTAAGGGGGAAAAGCAGCATGGGGGGGGCATGGAAGGTCTGAGGGGATAGTTGGGGTCCTCAGGCAGAAGGGGATTGTGAATTCAAAGTAAGTGAGGAGGGGGCTCCTCTGTCTGAGCCCACCCTCTGCCACATGGTCAGTGTACCTCTTTCCTCTCACAGATGGTCACCCTCCTGTCCAACCTGGGCAGCCAGTGGAGCCTGTGGTTTGGCTCCTCAGTGCTATCTGTGGTGGAGATGGCCGAGCTCATCTTTGACCTCCTGGTCATCACATTCCTCATGCTGCTGCGGAGGTTCCGAAGCCGATACTGGTCTCCAGGACGAGGGGCCAGGAGTGCAAGGGAGGTGGCCTCCACTCCACCTTCCTCCCTTCCCTCCCGCTTCTGTCCTCACCCTACATCCCCATCCTTGCCTCAACCAGGCCCTACTCCCTCCTTGGCCTTGACAGCCCCTCCACCTGCTTATGCCACCCTAGGTCCCTGTCCATCTCCCTTGAGCTCAGCAGGGGCCAGCTCCTCTGCCTGTGCCCTGGGAGAGCTCTGATAGGGAACTTAGCCTAGAGTGTTTCTCCCACCAAGGCCTGCGCTCCCCTGTGGGAGGGGCCCAGCCTTGGCAAGGTTAAAAGATGTTTGGGGCTTCCTCTCAAAGCTTCTCACTGCCTTTGGTGTGGGGGAGGGAAGCAGGATGGGTAAGGGGTCCAGGAAGTTGCCCAGAGAACAGTGGCCAATGAAGCCACCCAGAACTGCTTTGGTCCTGCCCTGTAACCTCGGTCCTGCCTTTGAACACTCTGATTTCCACACAAGTGCAAACAAGTCTCCTTTTCCCTTGGATCAGCCAAGCTAAACTTGGAGTTGTGCCAAGGAACTTTCCTAGGAAACGACCAACAACCAGAACAAAACACAAACAAGGACATACAAAGGCATATCCAGGTTTCCTACCCACAGTGACCCAAGCCAGCCCCAGGCTGGCCTGGCCGCACTGCCATCCAGTGATACAGACGTCTGCTCCTTTTCTTGAACTTGGGTGGGAACCCCCACCCGAAAGCCCCCTTTGTTAGCTCTTGGGCAATTCCCCTTCACTGACTTCAGAGCAGGAGCTTGAGCAGACCAGTGTAGAAAGGTTTGGTCATTCCCAGTCATTCCCAAGACGCTTCTAGTCTCATACTCCACACCCCTGCGGAGATGCCCCAGTGCCTCTGCCCTGTGTCCTTCATTCCCCTGCATGACTGCTCAAGCTATTTCCTCAGCCTGGACACTTGCATCACCATCTGGAGGACTATGCATCCTTTAGAACCCTTTCAGATACCATTACTTCCTTGAAGGCTTCTGCCCCATCTTGTCTTCCCCAGAATTGATCACCCACTCTCCTTTGGACTCCCGTGGCCCACTGTAACATCTTCTGGACTGCTGATGTTGCATTAGACTTTTGTGTTCACTTGTGCCTGCCTCCCCGACTAGACTGTGAGCTCCTTGTGGTCATTTCCATATTCTCCAGGTCTAGCCCAGTGTCCCACTTGGAGCAAGTAGACAGGTCATCAATAAATGTTTGTTGCATAAAGCAATGTCTGCTGAGTTGGATGGGGCCCTAAGAAGAAGGTAGGGAGTGGACACAAGTCGCGAAGTCAGTGCCCACTCTTCTGGGAGGTCCTGGGGCAAAGAGGGCCCAGAGAGACTACCATGCCCTCTGGCTCACCGTGGAAGAGATCATTCTTCAGGTGCCTTACAGGAGAGAAACTATCTTATGAGTTCATTCACAGGTGTGGCAGAGGATTGCTATGTGCCCATCACCATATTAAGGTGGAGGGGGAAGACTTGGTGTTCTGCAGTGATTGGTAAGACTCTGCTCTCTGCAAGGTCTGAACCTCCCTTTCCTTTCCAACCTTAGTCACCATCATCATTAACTCTCCGCTCCATTTGCTGAGTACCAGTCACCACCCAGCCACAGTATAACCCTCATCTGACCTCCTGCCCATCAACTGCCTAAGCAGTGGAGAAGGATGAGACGCAGGACAGTTTCTTCTGAAACCTCAGAGCTCTATTTAGCCTTACTCACGTTTCATCATAGAGAAGAGCAGAGAAAAATCATTCTCATTTCAATGAAGGAGAAATTGAGATCCAAGGAGAGGCTGAGGGGTATCTGGGTAGAACCCTATTTGTCTGGTCCCAGTCCTTCTACCCCTCCAGCCTCAGATCTAGAACCCAGAAGTAACCCCTTTTTCATTATCTTTGGGATACTTCCCCTGTGGCCTTGGTTTTATTCCTGTTATTTACAGTCTGTCCTGAGGATCCAGAGGCAAAAAGGATCTTGAGGAGAGAGGAGGAGTTGGTAAAGGGAGTGGGGACATAGGAAGGGTCATGAGCCAAAATGACGTGGCGACTTCTGACTTCCCTTTCCTAGATTCAGGCTGATGAGGGGGAAATGGTGCTGTCCTGATAGTTTCCACGGTCAGAGTCCTCAGGTACCTTCTGCTCTTATCTTCTCTCTGCCATAGTCTTGGCCTCCGCCTTGTCCCACCCCGTGCCCAGTGCCCTCTCCTCTGGCTGGGGACGGAGCACCTACTGGACTAAGCTGGATCGATTGTAGATGGTGCAAGCCCTACTCATGCTCCAGTTTCTCCTTGCCTGCCTGTACTTCCTCCCTGAGGTCTTTCCTCATCTCTATCTCTTGTCCTAAGAGTTGGCATCAGGGTGTTAGAGAAAAAAGTGTTTAAGTGGCCTCCTTTTCCTGATTGGGCTTAGTGGGTACAGTGATTTCCCCAAGTTTATAATTTTTACAGAGTTAGCCTAGAACTCGGGTCTCTTTCTATGACTCACCCTGCCTCCCGGTGATAGGATGAAGTCCCAAATGACAGAGGTGGAGCTAGAACCCACGTCACTCAGAGTTCAGTGCCCTTTTGGGTTACGTATGTGTGTGTTTGTGTGTGGGTGCACGTGAGACGTGACAGGGGAGGGGCATCTCTGCTATCTGAAGCTCTTTCTTTTCTTCCTCCTTTGTCTCAATAAACCTGACTCGGACTTTGTCATCCCCCGTTCTGTTTTTTCATTTCTTTCTGACTTCACCCACCATTATTGTTTCTACCCCCGAAGGATCACAGTCTCACTTTCACCTCCTCCATTAAACTAGCTAACTTTTCATATCCCTAGATCCACCCATTGCTCACCATCTTTTCTTCTTCTTTTTAATAGAATTTTATTGAATAATTCAGTATCACATGTGCCAAGGGTTTAAACTTAATGAGTAAAGCAACAATTATCCTAAATCATGAAAGAAATTCACCTTTGGTGCCAAGCTTTGTGTTAATGGCTTTGACAGTTTGCACAGACTATTGAGAGTCTTTGTAATATTAAAAAGGGGACATTGATGTTGTTATTAATTTTAATATGAACTATTAATATTGCCACCACTTATAAAATGCTTAATGTACAGCAAACACTTGCTAAACACTTCATATGCATTTAATTATAAAATCAACTCTGTGAGAGGTATTAGTGAGTTTCTCATTTATTTAACTCCCCCCCCCCCACCAGTGCTGGGGCTCCAGACCAGGGCTTTGCACATGCTAGGCAGGCTCTCCAGTAGGCTACATCCCCAAGCCTCCCATTCATTTTAGATGAGGAGCCTGAGGCTCTCCTGGTTTCTTCACAATGGAAAGTGGCCAGTCTGACCCTTGCACTACATTCTTTTCTTTTTTATTTGTTCTTTTTAATCACACATGACAGCACAGTGTGTTTTGACATATTATTCATACATGCACATTCTTCCATTCTTGTGGTTGTACATCATGTGGAGTTACACTGATCACGTACCTTGCGCTACATTCTAATGAACTTGTTTTCTTCCAAAGCTCTGCTTGGGCCTCACTCCTACTGTACCTGGACTTTTTGTATGTTGATGGTGAACCCCTTCCTCTGTGAGTCTACTTTCAACCTACTAGTTCTCCAGAAGCTGAAGGACAGGGTAAAGTCAGTCCCACCACCAGTGGGGGCACCTAAACCCTCCATTCCCATTTACAGATGCCCTGCCCTTAGGGTTAGGATGGCAGAGGCAAGAAAACCAGAGGCAGGAAAAGCTAAGGCAGGAGGGCTTGGGGCTGGAAGGTCAGCTGGTGGATCAAAGGGAGAAGGGGCAGGGAGCTCTAGCTTTACATCATAAAGCCCCAGGACAGCACTTTCTGGTCCCCCTGTGTTTTCTACAGCCTCAGCACCTGAAAGACTTAGCCTATGGGGGAAGGCATTGTATTCTGTGGGCATTTGAGTCAATATTGTACTCAGGGTATAGAATTTGCTTGGGAGAAGCCTTGCCTAAACTGGGATAGTATTTTACATTAAGAGAGGATGACAGGATATGGGACTGAGAGGGACCCTGATAACAAAACAAACAAGAAAGGAAGGGGAAAAAAAAAGACCCCAAAGGACAAACAAAAATAAACCCCAAGGGGACATTGGGAAAAGTGGCACTGTGTCTCTCATGGACAAAGGGGGCCCTTTGTTTGCAAACTAAGAATTGGGGGTTCTCTGCCTCTAAATGCTATGTATCTCTGGCCTTCACTCTTCTCATCTAGAGAGTCAGGGGGTTGCCATAAATTCTGTTTCTAGGGTCAGTTCTGATGGATGTGACAAAATATTTGGGAAAAGGGTGTTGAAAATGGACTTTTGATATCTCCTGGAGATACCCAAATATCCAAAGCATCTTCACAAATGAAGATCTCATTGATCTTCATGGCCTCATTTCCCCTGGTAGGTGGGCAGACACTTTACCCCCTTTAATAAGAGGAACCAATCAAAGCTCAGGAGGGTTGCCTGATGTCCCACAGTTAGTGGCAGAGCTGGGATCAACAGCTGGGGGCACCTGTCAGGTGGAAACTGGTTAAGAGCCAGAGGGTGGGGGGCCAAGGGTTAAGGTCCCAATTAGGGCAGAAAACTAAGATGAGAATTGACTTTGAGTATTGGTTTGGATGGGCAAACTCCCACCAGAGAGGGGGAGTAGAATGCCAGTGGGAATTCCAGGGTAAAGGGGAGGGCCACTAAGAAACACTGAGTACTTCCCACAGTCAGACGTCTGTGTATTGTTTCAGTGAATCCACACAGCAACCGTGGGAGATAGGCTGTCCTGGCCTTGCAAATCGGAAAAACAGGCTCAGAGAGGTTAGATCCTGTGTTTAAAATCACCTAGCTAAAAAGTAGTGGATTCTGAATTGGAACTTAAGTCATTTTGACAATTTGACTCCAAAATCATAGGTCTTCCCATTCGTAGCTGAGAAAGGCCAGGGCTGGGGGCGGCCGGGGAGGGGGTGGTGTCAGTGCACCTTGGGGTTTGGTTGCGAGTGGGTGGATGGGTGGGCTGAGGGTGCCAGGCCGCGGGATCTGGGGCTCTGGTGCCTCTGACTGGGCTACGAAGCGTTAAAGAACCTTGGCCCCCTCCACCCTCCACCCCCGCCTCCTCCCCGGGCTCTTCCTGTCCCTGTTGCAACACCGCCCGCCACTCTCCCTTCCCCTCCCACCTCTCTCTCCTCTCGGCTTTAATTTTCTCCTCTAAGTTCTTGAGATTCAGGCTCCATTTCTGGCCTCCCGGGTTCGAGGTCCCTGGTCCCGGGTTGTGATATCCTGCCCCAAGTTTCAACGCTCAACCCCCACCCTCACCCCAAAGCCCAGACGGCGCTGGGGACCTCCTGGTCAGACCGGTGCGACTCTGGTCGCTGCCCTGCCGCTGGCGCCGCCACCACCAACGCCGCCGCCGCCGCCCCGAGCCCCAATGGGGGAGTGAAGCCCCCAGCCGGCCCGACATGGGCCTCCCCATCGTACCTGGCCTGCTGCTGCCACTGGTGAGACCAGGGTCAAAGGGAAGAGTGGGCTGGGGGCATGCGCCTCCTGGCAGGAGGGGGCCGGACTTTCCAGCCTCGGCCTGTCCTTGGTGCCAGTCTCAGGCCGGCTTGGCCTGACCTCAGGCGCTGACCGTTCAGGTTTCCCCATTCACCCTTCTCTAGGAGAAGGGGCTGCACTGAGGCAGGGGCAGTAGGGGGCAGGGAGGGACGAGTTGGAAAGGGAGAGAGACTGAAAGGAAGCTCTGACAGCCCAGGAAGTTGGATTGGGCCAGGGGGTGTCTGGGAATTTGGGGGTTGGTGGAAGGTCAAGGGTGGGGCGGATTTGGCAGGGGGGGAAGAAAGGAATGAAAGAAGGAGGTAGATCCTCTTGGAGTCCAGATGATTCGGAATTTAGTCCCTCTGGGCAGCTGGATGGCTCAGGAGTGTGTTGGGTGGTAAGGCCACCTGTGGAATTCAGCTGAGCAACCTGTTAGAGGGCAGGAGTTGAATGGCTTGTGAAATGGGGAAACTGAGCCTGGGAAGTAGATGATGGGTTGGTGGGGTGGGTTTGGGATGCTGTGTGGTGGGGGGATTGGAGAGTGGAGTGAGATACTGGGTAGGGACAAGGCAACTAGTGGAAGCTGTCTTGGGCCCTGGGAGGCCCAGGTTTCCCACCTGGGGGCATACTCTGTCCTGCCTCAGCCTCAGCCTCAGCTCCCAGACTCCTTCCAGCCCCCTCCCCATAGATCTAAACAACAATCATTTGGTTTCTAAATCCTCTGTTCAGTTTGGGGAAGTTGGTAGCAAGTTGTTTTCGTCACTGGAAAATGTCCCTTTCTTTGGCCTCAGCCTTGTTTTAATGTATCCTTGATCTTCACCTGTGTCCTGGAATCATCTTGCTCAGATACCTGGAGCTCCCAGCTTCCCTGCTTAGTGGGGTGGACTTTCCTACCTTTGTGGACAGTTTCTCCGGGTCCCTACTGTTCCCTGTCTTTTCCCCACCATGCCTTCCTTTTCTGTCACTCTCCTGAGCCCTGCTGTGAGCACCTTTCATCCCTCCCTCCACCTCTGTTCTCTGATCTAGTCTCACATTTCTAGACTTCAAGCGGCACCTGTCTCTGTTATGTCTCTTCTCATTTCTCCATCTTCCTGTTTCCCCAGTCCTACCTTTTCTTCCCATCTTAAGACTGTCCTTCCATTGGCTACTCTCCCCGCACCATCCAGCTGCCCTGTCCTCTTAATTCTGTTCTCTCTGTGGTGGTCGATCACCTGGATTCATGCCACAGCTTGTGAACCTAAGCCTGTTATTGACCACTAATGCTTTAAGTTCTTTATGTTTAAAATGAACATAATCATGATGACCTTGTAGTGTTATTTTTAAGATTAAATAGATGGATACATGTTAAGTGTATTTTCAATTTATTAAGTGCCTACTTTGTGAAAGACACTGTTTCAGGTGCTGGGATTTCAGTGGTGTATGAAATTCCTACTCTCAAGTTTATGGTCTATTAGGGATAACAGAAAGCACTCAATAAATCTTCAGCTTGTACATTATTGTCATTAGTGGTATTAGTAGTAATTATTCAGTGGCTACTTGTGTTTGGAAAACAGAAAGTAAAGGTAGTCTGAATATGGGTAAATGCCTGGGCTAGGAATAT